GTCCTTCCAACGGCACTATCAGATAATGATGAGAGACAGAGAGATAGGAAGCATGAACACCGCTGCAGTGTATGATGTCAGTAATAATATCAACACCTTGGCAACTAAACTGGAGAAACACGTGACACATCTCTTTCAACAAAACAGATGTTGGACTTCAGAACTCTCATTACCTTTTTGGCTCTTTGCTAGGAATGCTAGATTTCAAAAGAGGAAAAGCTCCTCTGATTTAATCAGCAAAGCAGTCAACCTTGCAAAGTTCCCAATTCGTTAATAAGAGCTATTAATATAACTTTGTGATTGGCAACATTCATCAACAAACATCTGAAATGTTTTCGGTCAAAGTCAGCTGTATTGCTAAACACAAAAGATGGACACAGAGAATCAACTGTCTGGAAGTCTTAGTCTAAACACAGTGTATAGAAGTTCATGCAACTGTATTAGGATTGTTATGAGTGCTGTTTCAAAAGAAGTTCAAATGGCAATTACTTATTCAGGTATAAAAATCTTCAAAGATATTACGACTCACCAATTAGATGTGAATCTTATTATTAGCCAAACACCAGACAGAGCATTTGAAAACAAACATGTTTAGTCTATAAGATGTGCATGTATATATATTCTTACAGAGGACGTCTGATGTCAGTTTTCAATAAGTACTTTGATAATGGGGAATTGAACACCCCCACTTCATAATTAAATGACTTGAATTCCTAGTACACGTAGGAAAGTTCTGCTTAAATCACAATGAAATGCTTTCATCCTAGCTCTCACTAAAGAATGGCAGCATAAAAGAGCATTAACAGCTGGAACAGCATACAAAGAGCATAAAACAACCATTTCGGTCCCAAGGAGTGGTCCCAGCAGGAGAATATGGTTCTAGCTCTAGGGCAGTCATGCTCTCTTCATAGATTCCAGGAACACAAGGTCACAAACCACTAGCTTCTCTTCAGCATCCAAAGGCCAAAGTCAGTTCAAGGATATCAGTAGGGAAAGTAAGACAAAGCAGAGGGAAGTCCAGATAAACAAAGTCAGGCAAAGCAGAGTTCAAGGTCCAAAGGGCCAACAAGCAACATGTGTAGCACCCTGGACAGCTCCTGCAGTCTCTAGGCAAGAATCAGATAAGGCAGACTTCAGTATGGCCACAGTTAGAATACCTGGAGTGAGCATCAGATTGCAGTTTTCTCTGCTGCTAATCTTGTCCTTGATGAGTGAAGACTTTACTCTTGAAGGGATCCAACCTATTTTAGGACACATTGACCCTAGCAGTACCAACAAGGCTTGGGTCTACTTCAAAGCTGGAGTCCTCAGAGGTGGAAGAAGGAAATGCAAATTTCTCAAACTGCAGAGGTGCTGACATCATGGGCCCCTCTGATGCTGAAACTCCCAAGGAATTAGAGATATCAAAAGGCTGCTTCTGAAGATAAATTCTTCTCCTATTTTAAGATCTCCTCTGGATCCACCATCTCTTCCACTGACGATGGGGGAGTCAGAGCCCTGGGTTATGATGACAGCATAAAAAGCATAAAACATGTATTGTAAGGGTAGCATATATGTCTATGCTTGCTCTTCATGCACCTTATGCTAGTGATGTGCTAAAACCTGTCCTCCAGTTTCTTAAACATTTTCTTCCTCTGCAAAAGATGCTCCCGTTTTTCTGCCTCATTTGCAAGACACTTTAGAATTTCATAAGAATTTCAGTGGGTACAGGGTTGGGTTTTCCTTATCATTGTTCTTCTTCCCTCTACATATTTCTGCAGTGCTCTGCAGCCTCCTTGCATTTCCAGATCTGAAAGAGTTCCAAGGGTAGAGTTATCTCATGATCTCTTTCCTTGTGCTTGAACTGGGGCATTGGAGGTCAAGGTGACTGGTTGCCAAGTGCCTGAGATGGATGTGCTTTCTGATTTGGTTTTAAGGAAAGTTCTTCCTTTTATCTTTTATCTTTAAAGGAGGTGTGTGCCATTTCTTTTTCTTTTTAAAGAAATCAGTATTTAAATTAAATAAGTAACAGTAAATAGCCATCAGTCACACAGTAAACAGTCACATGCTTATGGCAATGCCCAGTGAAGGACATAATGGGTTTTTCAGGAAACGTGGGCATGGAGAGCCTGCTTGGACAACTGTTGTCATTCATCTTTCTCTTTTGCTTCAAGTGTGGTGACTGCTATGCTTCCAATAAAAATGAAAAGGACACACCAGTGGTACCCCATGGCCCAACAGGGAGCCATTCTGGCCATGGAGTGCCTGGCCAGATATAGCTGTTGGTGGCAGAGATATGAGTGGTTGTCAGTGTAGTGGAGATTTCAGCATTGTGATAGTATTCTATGCCAACTCATACCTTCCCATTTTCTATAAAATGTTCATTCTTCTTTGTTGGTGTTTTCAATTTTTGGCTACTAATAGCTGAGCTGAAACTATCTCGCAGATTTACGGAAGGCTGTGGCTCAGACCATCAGCCTTCTATGCCAAAGGTCCCAGGTTCAATGCAGGGCCTCCTTGTAGGACTGAGAGTCCTGCCTGAAACCCTGGACAGCCACTGCCAGTCAGTGCAGACAATACTGAGTAGAACTAATGGTCTGGTTGAGTATAAGGTAATTTCCTATGTTCCTGTACCGTTTATCTGTTCTCAGGATAAAACTGAGAGTAGAGATAAAATATGCTGCCTTTAGCTCCTTGAGGAAGTTGAGCTACAAAGGACACTGAGAGACTCTATTCATGGCAGGGGGAAAAATGTTCTAAAGAACTAGTTAGGAGTATCTCTGGTAATTTCCACCACAGACTATGTGGTCTCAGCCTGGTGGGAGTTATAGTTCAAAACATCTGGAGGGCACAACTTTAGCTATCCCTGGGTGGCCATAGTTCCACAGTAAGTCATTTTTTAATTGCTAGCCTTTTGGTAATCCTATTACTTATGCAATCCATGAATTGTCCTTAAACATTGGGTGAAAATTCAGAGGTTATCTGTCCTTGCCATGCTGGTATCTTCAGTCATTAAAAACAGGAATGTCACTGAATCATCCAGCTTTTTTATATATATAAAAAGTGTGTCACACTTCACTGAAAATAGAATTTCAATTAGAACTGTAGATTTTATCTTGCAAATCGAATTTCTCACACATGAACTCCTTAAACCTGACATTGTCAGCACCCCAGTTAAAACTGGCATTTGACCTGACTGTCACAGAAGGACAGCGTTAATAAACTCTGTAGAAACTGATCACCTTCAAGGAGCCTGAGGAGGACAGTTTTTCCTAAAGCCGAGTATCACTGACCAGGATTGCTTGATTGTTTCTGTTTTTTGTCACACCGCTTACAGATGCTCTTTGGCGCAGGACACCATCTCTGGTTCATTTTCTGATATCAAGAGGGAACATTGGTGAGAGCTGCCCATAATTTGCCTGAATGTCTGCCACTATGACAGGGCTTATTTTTTATTGCAAAAATCTCCCTCGGGAATCTCCTTCAGATTCCCCAGGTTCTGCCCTTTAATCAAGCCAGGCAGTCTGGTAGGAAGAAGATTTGGACAATGTTCCCTGCCAGAACTGAACCAATCCCTATCTGACAAGCTGTGCTCCACTAGGCATGCAGCTGCCAGTCAGATACAGTCATTTAAATAATGAGGCACTGTTAAGCGTGAAGTGATTAATTGGACTTAGGAAAGATATCGTGACATCTCCAATAGGAATTGGAGGGTGGGGCTTACCTGCATCCTCCCCAATATTTTATTGAAGTTGGCAGCCCTGCAAGAGACCAAAAAGGAAAATGGGGAGGGGGGGGGATAGCTCCGGCAGAATGCAAACCTGTATTATTTAAATAGCTCACTACCCTTCCCTACTGTTAATTCCCTCAAACCAGAGCCTTTTATAGCTTTACAATTAATGATTGTGGACATCCCCATAAGTACCTGCCACCAGTGGTACAGCCTAAAAGTGTCTCTGACCCTGTGGCGCAATGGTAGCGCGTCTGACTCCAGATCAGAAGGCTGTGTGTTCAAATCACACCAGGGTCAGGATTCTGACTTTTGTTCTTGTCTTCCCCTATTGCCAGTTAAGAGGAATAGTCATGTGGACTCAGCTCTAGGAAAGGATGAATCTGTCTATTTTGGTTTCTCTTTGGGCTTTATTGCCTCAAACTTAAGTTCAAGTCACTCCATTTCCCCATTGGTTTGTGAACTTTAAAAATAATAATGTGAAAATCTGTATCTTTTTTTGCATTTCCCCTAAGATTTGCATTTTTGCTAGCAATCTTCCCTTATTTAATGCACTTATGTTCATTAGTTTCATCAATATTTTTGTGTACACTTTCCTCTAATACAAGCTTTTTTTGTATACATGTTTAGGTTAAAGAACTGTGTCACAAAATTCAAAGTCTGCATTTTCAATGATAGCTGTGTTTCACTTCATGTACTAGTCTGAGGTGCCCAAATTAAACAGGTTCTTATTAAAAGGAAAACTTAATAAATTTATCTCACACCATTTCTTGGCTCAGGGCATAAAGACAACAGCCCACAACTCAAGGCAGAGCAGGACTCAAACCCACAGCCTCCTGATGCAGGATCCTTTGTATCTTGCGAGAGGAGTCACGCCTCTGCCATGACGTCAGCACAGTGGAAATGAGCCTTGCATTGTATGCACAAGCACAGCAAAGACTGGTCAATTGGTGCAGAATTCAGCAGATATTTGTTGCCTGTTTCAGAAAAAAAAGGACCTTTTGTGGCTATGTGTGTTTGACTCAATTTGCTGAGCTAGGGCTTGTTTGTTTGTTTGTGAGTGGATGGAGTATAATTGTGCTTCTGCCTTTTTAATTAATATTATTTTTGTTGTTTTTAGCCACTCCACCACTCTGCTGCCAGCTATTGATCTAAAGTGCTTTTGATTGTGTTACAGATCCCTGCCTCAAACTTGCCACAACACTGTCTTTTCTCACCTGCAAGAAGACAGCCTCCCAACAATCTTTGGTCATGCAGTCAGTCTACAACTGTCATTAGGTGCATAAGCAGTGACCTTGTGGCACAACAATAGTTTGTCTGACTCCAGATCAGAAGGCTGTGTGTTCAAATCACACCAGGGTCAGCATTCTTTTTTTTTTTCCTCCACCCATCCAGGGCCAGTTGAAATACAGATGATGGAGAGAATACACAATCTGTTGCAGAAAGGGGGTCAACTGAACTTAACATGAGAAAACAAGGGCACTGAAATTGAAAAATATGTTTATCCTTACTCACAATCTTCTGATCTAAAGCCAGATGTGAAAGCTTTTACTTCCTCTGACTGGAGGCATCCGGTGCCTCAAAGGAACAGTCTAAAACTGGCACAACTGACCTTGTGGCACAGTGGTAGCGTGTCTGACTCCAGATCAGAAGGTTGTGTGTTCGAATCACACCAGGTCAGCACTTCTATTTTTTCTGCCTACCCACTGTGAGGTCTCAGATGAGATGCAGGTAAGGGCATGGCCCCACGGCGCTTTAGCATATTGCAAAGGACAGCAACACATCTTACAGGCCAGGTAGGACCAAAACTTGCAAATAGGGATAGGATAAAAATAATAATTCCATTCACATTTTAAAAATTAGCAATTTTGAAATGAATATGAAAACCATAACCAAGCTATCATTTGAAACTTACAATTCTCTGAATGTTGTGATGCAATTCTCCAAGTTTATTTGTTTTTTAAGTTTGTAAGAATGCATAGTATTATGGATACATGCTTGCAAAGATACCATACATATTTTAGGTAAAATGGCATAGAAAAATGATTCTCAAAAATTATATTGGTTTTCATGCAGATCCTTTTGAAAAAAAATATAACACAAACTAATGCAGAAATGGGGACAATTGAACTAAGATTGGAAAAGGGATAAAACAGGGGAACTGAGATGGACACATCTGTCCATACTTACACGCAACTTTCTGTTCCAAATCCAGATGAGGAACCTTTGGTCAGAGTCAAATTTAAGGCAGTGCAACTGGTTTGGTCGCACTGGGCACAGAGCCTCAGGGGCACAGCAGGGGGTGTCACAATTATGATGTAGAATGAAAGATGAGAGGCAGCAAGTGCCAAATTTTGGCATTGCACAGGGCACCACTGAAATTTGAGACCTCAAGGCCCGCCACTACTTTAGTGCCCCTCTCACTGGAAGCCTACATCCTGTGTGTTGACCTCTATGCCCCAGAAGCAGGACATGCCTAGTTCGTGCAAGCACACAAAAACTTAGGAAATTTGACTCTTTTGGAGTAGGATATGTTACTCTAGCAGAACTCAAACTTGCAGTTATTCAATGCCTCGCAGCCTAGAAATTGAGTTCAATGTCCACTGCACCTCACGGTCCCCTGCTGCAACGCACTCAAGGCAGTGTGTTCTCTGGCCCTGCAACTGATGGTAGCAGATAGTCCTATGAGTACCTTCCACCAGAGTTTAAAACTGTCAATGACCCTGTGGCGCAATGGCAGCGCGTCTGACTCCAGATCAGAAGGTTGTGTGTTCAAATCACACCAGGGTCAGCATTCTGACTTTTTCTGTCCCCTTCCCAAGTTGAGATGTAGACTCATAGGTGGCAGTGAAGCCTCGAATCGGAGAGAAATAGAGCCGCTAAAGGCTCAAGCCAGCCAGTCTGAAGTCAGATGTGGTATCCTTTTCACCACTGTCTCTCGTGCTGGAAAAAAGACTCCTTCTACCTCTGGATACCAAGTGATAGACTGGCTTAATCATCAAAACTTCGATGTGATTTACATAAAATGTATGCAGAAAAACCGTTAATAAGATTCAATATTAAGAACAAGTTAGCTTAATTCTTTTTCAAAATAAAACCAGCCATTCTACAGATATACATTACAAAATAAAATAGAATATTAAAACGTTTGTCAAATGTACATGTCTGGATAGACTTGCTTAAACAAAAACAGTCTTTGGCAGGTACTGAAAACCATACAGTGAAGGCAATTGCCTAACATCAATCTTTTATATTTTGCAGTAGAAGTCATGCAAAAACCATGCACAACAGCTGATTTCCCACTTGTTCTATAAATTTCACCTATTCTCAGAAAAATATCTTCCCCCCTTCTTTTTTTAGAATATAGATCTTCTGGAGATATGGGAGTGGTGGAGAGGCTTGGAAACTGAAGCATGTATCACACTGCTTTGTCAATCACATTTAACCAGCAGTACTGGAAGGAAATCTCTTTCCCTCAATCAGTCCACTGCAGGCAAGTAGACAGGAGTCATTACTGTGCAAATAAGCCTGCCAGCTGGTTTGTGCCTTCGCTTGCCTGGAGGTTACAGGTGCTAGTTAAACTTGTGGCTGGCAGGGGATCAGTGAGGGAGATGAACCATCTTCAAAGGCCAAGGTATTTCAGGTAGCTCACCAAGCTATCTTTACTTTCACCAAATTGATAAAACCCTCTTAAAATACAGAATGAAAGACTCCTTAATTTAAGATGCCAGTGAACTTAAAACTGGGAATGATGGGAGGGGTCCTAACTATTCTAATAGAAGACATAACTAGGTTTCCTTCTGTAGGTATGGCATCAGCAAAGGCAGATTAAGGTGGCTGGGGGCCCTGGTACATTCCTCAAAATAGCCTCCCCTTTTTTTGCCAAAAAGGAATGTGTAAAATAAGCTATCAGAAAATATGCCTGGAAGTATCTTCAAGACTGACACATGTATGAATACATAAACTTTCATTGACTACAAAGAATACGGTGAGCATGTGCAGTTTAATAACTCTTGGCAAAATTAAAACAAGCTACCTCATTAAACCAGCAAACAAAAATAGCTTTAACCAGATTGGTGCATCTCTGTACCATAAAAGTCTATGTTTTTTCTTGGTATGCCAACCCTGAAACATAGCGCAGCACCAGTCTTAATCTAGTCTGATTATTGCTTGTTTACCAACGCATAAATCCTGCTTGCGGGTCCAGGCATCGTGCTCCCCAGACCCCAACCTGCAGACAAATAAAGGACCACATAGACGGATTTAGATCAAAACAGGTCACAACTTTATTGAATGCAGATGAAAGATGTTTGGCTTGGGCATGGAGCAATCAAAATACTTCTGGCCCAGCCACCAGAAAGGGGTGTTCCTAAGACTTACAGCAAATAGGGTGACCCCCCCCCACACACGGACCGCCATCTGGGGGAGAGTCCTCGGTCCTGGCCCAGCCTGGGCCCCCAGACATGACCACTCCCCCTAGATCCATTTAAAGGGATACCCCAGTGTTTGGAGGGGCAGGCAGAAACTACAACCTCCCCTCCATCCAAGACAAAGGATTGCCCCAATACCCAACCCAGTCCATCAGCACATGATTTTGATTCCTAAAAGGATTTATCTTAGGCCTGTAAGCCACTAGGGGTGAGTGTACTGTAAATAGCAGAATTATATACTTTCATTTCATGTTTTTTTTTACAGTATTGTTTTAATGTAAATGTAATATAGTAAGGAATCAATGTTTCGTTGCAGCTGTTCACATCTGAGATCCTGAACAAATCTGGGGGTGGAAGGCGACAACAGGAAAAGAGAGAAGGCCCTGATTTCAATGCAAATTTAAGGGCATTAATCATCCCTCTTGCTTGTAAAAGCTTTTTGTAAACACAGCTTACGAGTGTTACTCATGGTGTCCTGAGAGAAAAAGGAAAACTGAAAGCAAATTTCAGGAAGAAATATGCAAGTATAATTGGAGGCAGAATCAGAGAAAATGTCAAAGAAGGGAAAGGAGCCTTGGGGGAGAGCTAGTGCAGTGGGCTGGCTAAAATGAGGAGCTAGGACTTGGGAAAACACAACTGAAATCCCAGTTCAGCTATGAAGCTTATTAGGTGACCTTGGGCTAGGGTCACTGTGAAGATAAAAATAGGAGCAACCTATTATTATTGTAGTTACTGTAGTTATATTTATGAATCACCTTTTACATATGGGGTATTAGAGGAGGGGAGTACCTCTGGTGGGGGACACATTGTGCTCCTTCTGGGGTAGTTTGTCCACCCTTGGTCCCCACTATGCACTCAGCTCTCACTTGTGGCACATAGAAGCTGTCAGCATGTGATAGCGCCCACACCCCAGAAATGGATTAAACTAGCCAGCTGAACTAAGTGAGGATACCCAATGGGTAAGAAACCTTCAGTGAATTAGGGACTTCCCCTGTGGGCAAAGACAGACTCTGGCAGATTGAGCAGACAAGGCCCATAGTGAGTCCAGTGGTCAAGAATGTGGTTTCTGCACATGCTTGCAGAGAGAAGTGACAGGGAGATGGGGCTCATCATCTGGGGAAGGTAGCTGTCAGGAACGTCCCCCACCCCCCAGAGCGCAGTGGAAGAACTGGCCTCAGAAATTGAGCTAAGCAAGCAAGAAGTCGACTCTGCAGCTGGGAGCTGTCTGTCTGAGTTTCGAGAAGACAGCTCAGCCCCCCCTTCTTCCCAGGCAAGACACTGTTAGCTCCCAAGGAGAGGAAGAGCTGGAAGTTGGCTAAAGTGTTGCCAGGCAACCAGCAGATAAGCCAGAATCGGAGGCTGTGTCTTCTGGGGAAGAGACAGCCCAGCTGTGCAGTCTCCAGACGAGGAGGTTAGAGAAGCTCAGAAAGCAACGGAAGAGAAGGAGAAGAAAGGCGGGATTTTGGTGTCCTTCCTGTTGGAGGAAGGATGATGAGTCAGACTGAGCAACTAAGGTTAATGGGAGCAGGTGGAACTCCAGGCTCTGGATGTGTTTTTCTTGTAAATAAACTTACACAAAACTGACAGAGAGTCCTTGCTACTTATTAGGCTACCAGAGATCATTATAGTAGCCTATCTAGGAGAAGGAAAACTCTGGTCCTAAACCTCCACTGCCTACATGAATCCAGAATGCAGTTCCTAAGACAACTGGAGGGTGCCTTGTATGCCTCCTTCTGGAAACTCCTGTAGCCAAGCTGGTGCTAAATGTATTGCTCTGTTTTCCTTTGGACCACTGAGGCTGAGATGGAGGTCTTGTTGTCTGGGCAGCCCAGGACCTCCATACACACTGCCTAGACTTGCACCTGAGGAGGTCATTTTGGTGCTGCTAACACAGCTGTTCAACTTCACCCCCAGAAGCACCCTCCATTGTCTCTCAAGACAGGTAGATGCCGAAGGACTTCCGGGCAGGTGCCTCCGGCAATGGCGGAATTCCTCTGACCGGGAGGAATCTGCTCCGTGGGAATCTGGGTCTGGCCGCCACGGCGAAGGCAGACACCCGTTAAAATCACAGGCGGGAGAAGCCTGTGAACGTGGGATTCGGTGGGCACCTTTTGCGCCTCCCCCACTCGCGGGGAACCCCGGTTTTTGGGGCTCCGGAGCGAAGTGGGGTGAGTGGCGCGGTGCATCGAATCGTCTGCTTATTCCATGGAGTGAAGCCGCATAGCTGTTGCCGGAGAGCGCTGACCTTTTC